AGGGGGAGTTGAAATGGTTCGCGACTGGGAGGTGCAGTTGTTTGTTGGTTGTTGCGCGACTGGGAGGAGGCTTGGGGACTGCTTTGTGGAACACCTATGCTCGATTCACGACAAACAACTGCACCTCCCAGTCGCGAACCATTTCAACTCGCCCTCCCATTCCTCAGACGACATGTCCATCCTGGGCCTCCTGCAGTGCCACAACGATGCCACCTGAAGGTTGCAGGAACAGCATCTCATATTTCGCTTGGGAACCCTGTAGCCCAATGGTATGAATGTGGACTTCACAAGCTCCAAAATCTCCCCTCCCCCTACGGCATCCCAAAACCAGCCCAGCTTGACCCTGCCTCCCTAACCTGTCCCTCCTCCCACCTATCCCCTCTTCCCACCTCAAGTCCCATCCCCACCTCCTACCTACTAGCCTCATCCCGCCTCCCTTGACCTGTCCGTCCTCCCTGGACCGACGTAACCCCTCCCTAACTCCCACCTACACCCACCTTTACTGGCTCCAACCCTGCCTCTTTGACTGGTCTGTCTCATCTCCACCTATCGTCTCCTTTTATCCATCTTCTATCCACCTCCCCTTCTCTCCCTATTTATTTCAGAACCCCCTTCCCCTCCCCCATTTCTGAAGGAGGGTCTCGACCTGAAACGTCAGCCTTCCTGCTCGTCTGATGCTGCTTGGCCTGCTGTGTTCATCCAGCTCTACACCTTGTTATCTCTCTATTGTTCTTTGTTCACTTTACTGAAACACTACAGTCACTTTTAATACAGAGATAGTAGGAACTGCAGATGCTGGAGAATCCAAGACAACAAGGTGCAGGGCTGGATGAACACAACAGGCCAAGCAGCATCATAGGAGCAGAGAGGCTGACGTTTCGGGCCTAGACCCTTCATCGGAAAAGGGGGAGGGGAAGGGGGTTTTGAAATAAATAGGGAGAGAGTGGGAGGCGGATAGAAGCGGGATAGAGGAGAGGATAGGTGGAGAGGAAACAAACAGGTCGAAGAGGCGGGGTTAGGGCAGTCCAAGATATAGTTCTGTTGTTGAAGAATATATTCTGTCATTTTTTCAGTCAAGGCAGAAGAGTTTATGGAAGTCTGCTGACTAGGAAACGGGAGCCCAGCATTACTGTTGCTTTCTCTAGCTGGTTTTGCACTGTGTCCAATTCAATTTGATAGAAGGAAACTTCAATTTTGAACCTGGTTTGGCTCATCTAACCTCGGAACACAATTGAATCAAGCCACTTGTATCATGTTATCATGATATTGGTGGATGTTGAAATCAATCTGCATGTGATGAGGATGTTGGGCTAATTTCCTTTTAAGTATTAAAAGGGCAAGTTATTGGAGAGATGAGTAGCTTGGCAACTCTTGGTCACCTCTGGGGACATGTTGGTAAAGAGAGGTGAGAAAGACTGAGTAACTTCTCACCTGGCAAGTTTATGGAAAGTACGTGATAGAGACAGAAAATAGTTTAATGTGCTACTTGTCAAGGTGGGGTGGGAGGAGGGGCAAGTTTGAGGTTACACATCACACATTTGCAGCACAGAAGGAGGCTATTTTGGCCCTCATGTCTATGCTGTTGTCATGCCACCCAAACTAATTCTACTTTCCAGCTCAGAATCATCGAATCCTTACAGTATGGAAACAGGCCATTCGGCCCAACAAGTCCACATTGCCCCTCTGATAGCATCCCACCCAGGCTCTTAGATCATAGCCTTGTAAGGTTACTGCACTTCCAAAATATTATGAGGGTTCTGTCTTTACCACCTCTGGCAGTGATTTCCAGCCCCCTCAAGCCTCTGGTTTAAAGCTGTTAATGTCAAATGCCCTCTAAACCTCCAACTTCTCGCCTTAAGTCTATGGACTGACTATGGATTGTTTATCAAAGGCAATAAGTTACGCATTCTATCTTTTAGATTTCTTGGAACTTTATTCCTCTCATTTAGATTTCTCTTTGCCTCCTCTCTACCACAAAAAAAAACCTGAACCACTAACCTGCTGGAGCCAAAGTTGTCCAGGCATCAGCCTTGCAAATTTCCTTTGTCTGTTGGGCAATCCCAAGAACGTGAGACAAACTATAGAAAGCAATGGTGCATTCTTGGAGATGCTTGACCGTTATCCATAGAAGCTTATTTTGAGATTGATGCTGTCATTAATCCCTGTATTCAAGTCTTGCCCAAATTTGAATAAGCCTAGTTTGGACTCGTGGATCATTATTTCAGTAGGCAATGTGTACACTGCTGTTGGCAAATTGCATTATCATAGCAGGAAGTTAACTCGTTTGGTGTTTTACCGTGCGAACCTTTTATTATTTCTCCACAGGAAATGTGCACTAAGTGGCCTATCCAGAACCTGTAAGCATCGCATCAAACTGGGGGACTCGGGAAATTATTTCTACATTTCACCATCCTGCAGGTCCAGGGTAGGTATAAATCAAAAGGAGAAGACTTGTATTATGGTGTGTCACAAACAGGATTTAAGACAAAATGTTGTTCAAATTTCAGAATTTGAAAGATAACTTTGCATTGCCCACTAGTGGATAAAAAGACTGATTTTTTTTTTCCAAAAAATGTATGCATTTAAATTGATCACCTGGATGATATATTTGATTTCTTTGTTTGTTTGTTTTCTTTGATCTAAAGCCCAGACATGGTGAAACCTTTGAAGAATCTGAACAGACAACTTCAAAGACTCAATCAAAGATTGCATTGAGCTCTGGAGGATTTGTTTGTTCGGTTGTGCAGTAGACTCATTGAGCTCCAACCCCTGCTAATGGATTTAACTTGGGGACTTTTTACACAGTAATGGAGGGGTCTGTTTGATTTGACATTTTGACCAACTAACTGGATTAAATGTTTGAGGAAGTTTTTAAATGAGAGTGTATTTTATTTTGCCACATTTATGAGCACTTGAAAGAGTGCATTTTTTCCAAATGGAATTTCAATGGCTACACTTCATAATTGAGTTTCTCAAAGGGACAGTCTTTTTCTCCACTGGAGTTTGAAAGCTTTCCTTTTGTTTAAACTTGTACGAGTGTTTCAAATGTGTTTTATAAGGGCTCATGAATTCTGTTCCTAGTGGATACTGGTTGATTGGGTGTGGAAATGGAGGTTATAAGAAGGCATGGAGTCAGCTTTTGGGTATGTAGAGGATGCTGATGGGATGGGAGGGTAAGAGGAAGCTGGGTTTTGTTACATGTTCGTGAATTTGACATTTGCAATTGTGATACTGTCTGTTTCACAGATTACTGCTGTTTGCAATTTCTTCACATATATTCGTTATATCCAACAAGGTTTAGTCCGACAAGATGGTAAGATCATAAAATGTACTTTTCCTTAAGATGAATGTTCAAGATTTATTGTAGCCTTTTTAGCATTTCCAGGGTTGACATGAATATAATGGGGTGAAGGGTAAATTGAGGAGCAGTTCTAAATAAAACAAACTGGAATTCCAAACCATTGAGATGACCAGAGTGGCTGAGTGAGCCCTGTGGAAGATGTGGATACTGGGTGAACCAGGATTGGTCTGAATGAAAAGATTTTGAGCTCTGCTCATATTGCAGCGACTTGTGCCCACAGGAAAACGAGGCTGCCACACATTGCAGTACTGAGGGAACATCGTTCTGTCTATCTGTGGTGTATCCTCGTTGAGGCATTTAAACCAAGGCCCGGTTTCCTCACTGGGATGGATGTAAAAGATCCCTTGACAGACTTTCAAGCAGGAGTGTGGGAGTTATCCTTGGTATCCTGGCTAACATTTATCCCTCAACCACAGCAATAATAAAAAGTTTTAATCTGTTTGTTATCACCATGTGTAGTTTGTGGAAGCTTGCTGTGTGCAGATTGAGTGGTGTTGCCTTTTCCGCATTGGAATCGTGACCACACTTCAAAAGTCCTTTCTTGGCTGCAAAGTATTTTGGGACATCTGAGGTCGTGAAAGGTGTACTGTTGAATTGCAATTCTCTCACCCTAACTTATTTTCTTCCCTTTTGCAGTGGAACAGATGTACTGGGAAGTGATGAAGCTGAGGAAGGAAATGTCCATTGCTAAACTAGGATACTACACCGAGGAGTCTTAATCTCTGGGTTGGTGCCCCAGATTCAGGACTAAGCTTCAAGTCAAGGGGCCATTCATTTAGGCAATGTGGAAAATGCCATCAAAAAACAAACGTGAGCCTTTGCTTTCACGAAGAGCAGGAAATGAACAGGAAGTGTGGTGATGTATCCAGGAAGAATGAATGACTGCCTCCATGGCCTGGGCTATATTTTAAAAAAAAAATATTAAATATCGAGGAGTGACTATGGATAATATACAGGGTAATCTTATCTCGTTAGCCATTGATCAAAGGTCCTGTAATTTGGATCTTTGTCGCAACAATCAAGAACTGTAAAACCACCACAAATCAGTTTTTATGCCTGTTAGGCCTCAGTGGCTTACTTCCTTTGTTTAGTTGGTATAAAATGGAGAAAGGTGGTTCTTGGATGACCATTTGAAGGAAAAATAAATTTTATTCCTTTCAATGCATTAAAGTGGAACATTGGGCTTCCAACGAGGGCATTAAGCCCAGCCATGATTGGGGCAATTTATCTTGCCCTGTATGGGGTGCGATTCACCAGCTCACTTTTTTTAAAAAAACAAACTCATGGGTAAGGCCAGTGTTGAGTTGGCTGAGATAGTCCTGTTATATCACATCAGATAGCAGCAATGATGATGCAGCAGAGAGGTCTACAGTGCAAGTATAGAGACTGGTCCCAAAACAACCCACCCCCAACCCCAAATTTCCCCTCTACAACTAGATACTGGAAAGCCTCTTGCACCTACAAAACTGTTCCTCAACAAACTGGAACAGTTTCAAGAGGCCAGGGAAGGAGGAATTTGTTTTGGTGGGGGGGTCAATGGTGTTGATAGATGCATGAAAATGTCATCAATGTTGCACTTGTGCTAGTGCAAGGGGTGCTTAATTATAAGGAGGAGGTTCTTGGAGATTACCATAACTATGAAGTGGTCTCAGTCAGTGATTTGATCCTATCAATTCCATGAATCATTGAGATGGCTGTCGTGCTTTCTACCAGCTCCTGAAACTCTGTTTGTCACTGTTCCTTTACATAGTCCCACAAAATTCACTTTCAACTGTCCATGCTGTCGTCTTCCAGCTGAGAGCCATTCGGCTATGACCTGTTGGTTTATTCACATGTAATATGTTCGGTTACTCCATTGTGTTGGACAGTCTATGCTACCAGCTGATATTCAATGTCATTCTGGCTTTCGCTTCTGTACTTGTATAGAGCCAAGGCCTACAGAAGTATGGATTGTGCACTAGACTTAACATATTCTTCTGTTCACATTCCATAGTGCATCTCTCCTCTTCCATAACCTTGCAATGATTTTTCGCATCATTTCCATGATGACCAGTCTCCTCAGCAATAAATCTCATGACCTATGTAAGGTTTCCAAATGCCTCATTGTGATGCACAGAATCCTGACAACCGGAGCCAAGACTTTCAGTTCTTAACCTTTGATTGCAAACTGGCTTGAACCAAGTATCATTCCTCTACATGTTTACCTTGTACTAGAGTATTATAATCACTACAAAATTCTTTATAATCCATACATTACTATTGAAGGAGCACCATCAAATCGTTTGGCAAACATTAATCTAAAATTAATTTGTGCCAATTTTCTTCCTCCTCCTTGTGTTCAAAGTGAAGCCTCTTGCCGGGATGCAGCAGCAATGGTTGCCCTCCAGCATTTGGCCCAAGTGACTTGAGTGATTGCTGCCAGGCAGTTCAAACTTAGAAAGTATCACAGGAGGGACTGCTGTCCTGCTCTTAACCACCAATGTACTTTCCAGCAGGGGTCACTGGATAGTAATCAGGAGGCTGGACCTCTGGTTCGACAATCGGTTCTGAAGAAGGGTCACTGGACCTGAAGCACCAGCTCTGCTTCCTTTTCACAGATGCTACCAGATCTGCTGAGGTACTCCAGCAATTTCTGTTTTTGTTTCTGCTTTCCAGGATACAGAGTTCTCTTTTTCTTTTGTTGTAAAAATATCCTATTGTGGGAGAGCTCAAATGCCCAAAAATGAGACAATATTTCTCCTGGCTCTTCCCGTTCCCTTCCCTTTCACCTATTCTATTCCCTGCAAAAGACATGTTTGCCAAACACATTTCCTAAAAGTTGTGCTCCTTTAAACTGCATGGTGCATGCTTAATTTTTTTTAATGACTTTTTTTTTTCCAGGTATCATTAATTCCAGTGTTTATTGTGGAACATTGTTCACCACTTGCCAATCTAATGATTATTGGATGTGGGGGAGCCAAGCCTCCCTGAAAGTCTGTTGGAACTTTCCTTCAATAGACTGGACTGACTGTGTGGTTGTACAAATGATCAGTACATTTCTACAGTGTATGAATAAATACTAATTATAAAACTAACAACTAGCTTCTTTGAATGAACAAAGTGATGTTGTTGATGGGCATAGTTTTGAAGGAAATGTTTCTGGAATGTGAATGAATTGTAGACTAGCATTTAATTCTGAGCTTTGTAGGAGTAATTATTCTACATGATAGAGAATTATTTTAGTTACAATGTTGGTGTTTGTTCCTATTCCCTGTGCTTTAATTGGGAAAATTGTGCATGGCCCATACTGTGCCTAATCGGCTCTTTGAATTGCACTGATGTTCTACGTATTCCCTCGGACTCCAGTCCGAATCTGGCAGGAGCTTCTTTTAATAGATGCAATCAGAAACCCGAACCATCCAATGGAATAGAACAAAAGTCATGGACATAAAGCTGATATACTTCCTATCAAGGCTCTGCCTTTTAGTATCACAACTTTCTCATTGTAAAATATTGAAAGCTTCTAATATTAGCATGACACTATCTTATGTGCACAATCTACATCACTTCCGTTGGCCGCTTTTCTGATGTCCCTGGAGTGTGAGGTGACCACTGGCATAGTTTAAAATTGGCGAGCGCCAGTTCATGTTTTTAGGGCTTTCTATTTTAGTTAGTATAGCAATCATAGTAAAATGTTCACCTCACAGTGCCTACTCCACATGCTATGATTCCCAACTAAGGTTATTAGCGGACAAGTCCGATCTCGGGCTTAAATCTGGCTTGTTAGATCATGTTTATTTTGATTTTAATGTAGCATGCAATGCTGCAGATTTGGTTTAAACTTCTATTTTGTTGTTTTATTATACATAAGAGAATGAACCAAACTATTTACACAATCTGAAAGATTTAGAAAAGCACTGTAAAATTTCAGTCGTGTTATTTACCAACATTACCCCTTTTTATAGTATCCAAACATTACAGAGAGTTACTTTCCCTATCTCTGAGGGTTTGACTTGGCTGTGTTTATTTCCAGTTTGGAGAATCTGGTCTCTTCCTTGAGTCTTTGTACAACTAAGTGTAGACTTTCTCAGCTTTAACTAACCATTCAAGGTTTTAATCAAACACTTCTCACCTGGAACTTTAAAACTAAGCTCCTCATACTGAGTTTAGAACTGTTAGGTAACTTACAGTAAGTGATAGGTAACTATCTCCCTTCTTTAGGAAAAATTGTTTTTCATATCCAGCTTTAGCAAACACTCCTGCAAACTGCCCCACTGAAATCCTAAAGCTTTTATCCCCCGAGTTATACAAGTGTTTCCTCTAATCAAGAGAAATCAATGTCTGACGATCTAAACTTAAAGCACAACTGTTTACTTTGTTCACTTGTAAAAACTCTTTCAATGATGGTAAACACAACAGGACACTCGTGCTTTTAAAATCCCTGTGGCCAGAAAGTACAGTTAACTATTAAACTTTTTCTCTCGCACAATCCATAAGCCACTAGTTCAGAATCTAAAGATTAAAAATAAATTATATTAAAATATAAATAAATTTGCTCACCTCTCATCTCCTAATTATCTTAATTAGGTAGCATCGACTATTACATTTAATATTTTTATCTTTAATATTCTGATCGGTGAGATGAATTAAAACATGGCCTTTTCATTTGTTATTATAGTCAAATGAAACCTTCAATATTTATTTCAGTTTTGAACTTGCTAATTAGCTTTAGGTCCTAAAACATTAGGATGCAATCATTGACTTTGAGTTCCTATCTTAAAATGCTTTGTGACTTTCAGGTTTTGTTGGTGATTGATAATACTCCTGTAAAGATTTGTGATGTTTTAGTATGTCAACTTGAAGTTCATAACACCTTGGTAGTTGACTAATAACATGAAACTATTGGGCAGGACACAATGTGAGTTAATGGCCGGTAAATGAAATGTTTCTACCAGTGGAGATACTTTTACCTGACAGATTGTGTATCTTCTGACTCAACGGGCCATAAGATGGGACTTGAATATAAGGTCAAATGTTGGAGTGATGAAACATTCATAATAGTAGGCTTATTTTATTCCTAACATGAATGAATTTATACAACAAACCTAGCTACAAGGTATGTTTTTGGAAGTTTTATTGGAATATATACACACAGAATAAACTACTGCAATGGGAAGAATATATAATGTTAAGTAGGGATTCTGAATATTGAGGTTCATAATTTTATTTTGGAGTGTTGCTGTATCATCTAACATTCTTACAGGATGACTTTACAGATTTTACAGTGATTACACAGTTGCAATTCTTGTGATTATACAGGTGCTACAACTACACTGTGAAGTCTCAATATCTTACTCCATTTCATTTCTTTACCGATTAGGAAAATCAGCTTCAATTTCCCCTCAATCCTAAACCAGGATAAAACCTCCCTTTCATTAAATCCCTCTATATATTGCTCCACTGTTCCACTGCTGTACTGTGTTTACTCAATGATGTTGCCATTATGCATTTCTTCCTTGAGGATTTTCCCTGCCTTGTTGAGCTACATAGCTGAAAAAAATGTTTTATTCAGAGCTTTCATCTCTCCTGAGGAGACTTCAATCAATTCGCGTCCAACAACCTGCTTTGAAAACTCAGCATAGGTTTTTTGATAGTAGTAACAAATTCCAACATCTACAGCATTCCAAAGTAATCCATAACATTCTAAATAATCTATATCATTCTTTTTTCTAAAAAAAGTTAATTTGTCCTTTTCCTAATGTGGATGGATTTTTAGAAAAGAATCCTAGGATTCAGATTTGGAGCCATATCATCTTCAAAAAAAACTAATTCAATCTTCCTTGGGTCATACAACAGCTGTGTACCAAGTTTTGTTGAAATCTGAGAATTTTTGAGAGAAATTGTTTACAAACAAATTAAAAAATGCCCACCATCAGTCGTAAAAGTAATAAATAACGCTATCTCCTTCATTCCTATTCTCTAAAATTTCAAGAGGCTCACCTTGTTCCCATTCACTTTTAACATTTGACATTGACTTTGGGGAGAATAAAATTAGTATTCTCTAGAACTTGTTTCACAGCATTCTATTGGACTTCACCATCACGTTTACTATTGCTTTGTGGAAATTTTGAGGCCAAGATCATTGTTGCAATCATTATTCTGTTTTGAATGCTCAGAGCTATTTATAATCAAGCCACAGTTTACGCAATGGGAAACAGCCTATTGAGGTTTGAGTAAAATATTGAACTTTGTTCAGTGTTTTCTGTTCATGACTCATTAGCAAATCAATCACCAGCTTGGAAATAGTATAAATTACGTATCCAAGAATTTAAGGAAATTGTATCTTAAATTAATCTAATGTGATGAGGTTGTTGGCTTCCCACTCACCTGTGGCCTACTCAGATATTCATCTTTGTAATGATTCACTGCCTTCATGTAGTTTGGCCTGTGGGGGTTGTTCACTGACTGGGCTTCAGTTCAGAGTGAGATAACAAGGTGTAGAGCTGGATGAACACAGCAGGCCAAGCAGCATCACGGGAGCAGGAAAGCTGACGTTTCGGGTCTAGACCCTTCATCAGAAATGGGGGAGGGGAAAGTGGTTCTGAAATAAATAGGGAGAGAGGGGGAGGCAGATAGAAGATGGATAGCGGAGAAGATAGGTGGAGAGGAAACAGACAGGTCAGAGAGGTAGGGATGGAGCCAGTAAAAGGTGAGTGTAGGTGGGGAGGTAGGGAGGAGATAGGTCAGTCCAGGGAGGACGGGCAGGTCAAGGGGACGGGATGAGGTTAGTAGGTAGGAAATGGGGGTGTGGCTTGAGGTGGGAGGAAGAACAGGTTAGGGAGGCGGGGGGACGAGCTGGGCTGGTTTTGGGATGCGGTAGGGGGACTGTATCGACGCCACCTCGTGCTCCCATGAGGAGCTCGAACAGTTCATCCACTTCACCAACACCTTCCACCCCAACCTTAAGTTCACCTGGACCATCTAACACCTCTCTCACTTTCCTGGACCTCTCTGTCTCCATCTCGGGCAAACACCTAGAAACCGATATCCATTTCAAGCCCACCGACTCCCACAGCTACCTAGAATACACCTCCTCCCACCCACCTTCCTGCAAAAATGTCATCCCCTAATCCCAATTCCTTCGCCTCCGCTGCATCTGCTCCCAGGATGAGGCATTCCACTCCCATACATCTCAGATGTCCTCGTCTTTCAAGGACCGCAACTCCGCCCCCCTCCCCCCAGTGGTTGAGAATGCCCTCCACCGTGTCTTCCACATTTCCTGCAACTCATCTCTCACACCCCGTCCCCACAATAACAACCAAAAAAGAATCCCCCTCGTCCTCACACACCACCCCACCAACCTCCGGATCCAACGCATCATCCTCCGACACTTCCGCCATCTGCAATCCGACCCCACCACCAAAGACATTTTTCCCTCCCCACCCTTATCTGCTTTCCGGAGGGACCACTCTCTCCGTGACTCCCTTGTCCGCTCCACACTCCCCTCCAGCCCCACCACACCCGGCACTTTTCCCTGCAACCGCAGGAAGTGCTACACCTGCCCCCACACCACTCCCTCACCCCCATCCCAGGCCCCAAGAAGACTTTCCGCATCAAGCAGATGTTCACCTGCACATCTGCTAATGTGGTATACTGCATCCGCTGTACCCGGTGTGGCTTCCTCTACATCGGGGAAACCAAGCGGAGACTCGGGGACCGCTTTGCAGAACACCTACGCTCGGTTCGCAATAAACAACTGAACCTCCCAGTCACGAACCATTTCAACTCCCCCTCCCGTTCCTCAGATGACATGCCCATCCTGGGCCTCCTGTAGTGCCACAACGATGCCACCCAAAGGTTGCAGGAACAGCAACTCATATTCCGCTTGGGAACCCTGCAGCCCAATGGTATCAATGTGGACTTCACCAGCTTCAAAATCTCCCCTCCTCCTACCGCATCCCAAAACCAGCCCAGCTCGTCCCTGCCTCCCTAACCTGTTCTTCCTCCCACCTATGCCCTCCTCTAACCTCAAGCCGCACCCCCATTTCCTACCTACTAACCTCATCCCGCCCCTTGACCTGTCCATCCTCCCTGG